GGCGTGAGTACAACCTAATGTAATAAGTAGGGAATTAAAATCTATCTCAAATTGGGAACCCCTTTCAATAGCAACGGTCACGGGGCATCCATAGGTAGGGACCCAACGCTCAAGCAACGCTTTGGCAGTAGCTTCGGCGGAACAGTTTAGGAGTGGGATGGCCTCGGACCAACGCGAAAAACGATCAATGCAGAACAAGATGTATGTGAAACCTCCAGAAGGCGACATGGGGCCTAACAGATCGACGTGCACGTGTTAGAAGCATGCAGTCGGAGAGTCAAAAACACCTAGGGGGGTCCTAGTGTGACGATGAACCTTATTCCGTTGACACTAAACACGTGCGGGCCCAAGTAGCTACGTCGCGATTCATTTTGGGCCAGACGAAGCGTTGAGTGACTAACTTTACCGACGCACGGATACCTGAGTGCGACAAGTTGTGCAAGGTATTGAAGACCTGCTTCCTAAAGGGTTGTGGCACCACCGGGCGGGGAGTGCCCGTAGAACAGCTGCAACAGATGCTACCGTCGGAAGTGGTAAGGGGGACTAGCTGCAGCCTGAGGGAGCTGTTACTTTTAGGAGTCTCCAGCTCAGAGTCGGATGTCTGTGCCGCTCCTACCGCTACGTTGGACTCATCGGTGGTGAGCGCCAGAGGGGCTCTCGGAACGTAGTGTGAGACAGCAGCCATGTTGGAGACGGCTTGTTTCAGGTTGTTGAATGCCTTGCGTGCCTCTTCTGGGAACGCGAATTGTTTAGGGTTCCCACGCAATAGGTCGGTAAGCGGTTGCATGAGTGCGGCACACCTGGGGATAAAAAGCCTATAGAAGTTGATCAAGCCGTGGAACCGTTCAATCTGTTTCAGTGGCGTAGGTTCTGGGTACTCCGTAATGGCTAACACTTTATCCTGTAAGGGTGCGACACCGGATTCGGAGATGCAGTTGCCTAGAAAGATTACACTGGTTTCTCCGAAGGAGCACTTCGACGCGTTAATGGTGACGCCTTGCTGGCGGAGACGCGTAAAAAGTGCACGTAAATGTTGCTCGTGATCGTCCGGAGTAGCACTAGCTACGAGAATATCGTCGAGGTACGCGAAGGTGTTATCTAAACCGAGGCAAACCTGATCAGTTAAGCGTTGAAAGGTTTGAGTGGCGTTGCGGAAGCCAAAAGGCATACGCAAGAACTCAAACAGGCCAAACGGTGTGGTCACCGCGGTCTTGGGTACGTCTTCAGGGTGGACTAGGATTCGGTGATACGCGCGCACCAAATCGATTTTACTAAATACCTTACGGCCCCCTAAACTAGTTGTTAGATCTTGGATGTGCGGGATGGGGTAGCGGTAGGGGGTGGTGACGGTTTTCAACGCGCGGTAGTCGCCACACGGTCGCCGGTCGCCAGGGGACTTCTTGGGGAGCATGTGTAATGGTGAGGCCCGAGGGCTGCAGGATGGTCGGATGATTCCGAGGTCCAGCAAGTGCTGAAATTCGGCACGGGTTATTTGGAGCTTGTCCGGGGCGAGGCGTCCAGGGCGGCAGTGTGTCTGTGGACCGCGTTTGACTATGTGATGAACGATATCTGTGGTAGCCTGGGGTAGAGTGTCCGGCGGTTTGCACAACTCCGGGAACTCGAAGAGAACCGCTCGGAACCTGTCTGTGGCGTCGGGGACGTACAGGAGGGGGCTAATTGACGAAACGTTTTTAGGTGTCCCGTGGGTCTCACAGGTGGTGAGACAGTCGGTGAGCTTATGTCCGACTGAGTCAACTATGAGGTTGAAATGTCGGAGGAAATCTATGCCGATGATGGATTGAGGAAGGTCGGTGATAATGAATACCCAGAGTAAGCTACGGCGAATACCGATGTTCATTGTGGGTGAACGCTCGAGGTTTTAGTAGATGTGCGGTTCGCAGCGATCAGTTCTGCGGTAGAGAGACGGTGGAGGTCAGCGGGACGAGGGCGTATGACCCTGACCTGTGCGCCTGTGTCAACCGGGAAACGTATCCCGGTGAGTCGGTCGGCGACTTGGTTGTGACGAGCCGGACACGGCCGTCGCCTGGGCCGGTCGGCTAACTAGTTTCCCGACCTGGGGGTGTAGGTGCACGGTGAGACACCTCTTCGCGGCATCACCGTAGCGGTGGTGATACCAGCAAATCCCGTTCGACGGTGATCGAGATCGTGGGCGCCGGGGGCTGCGACTCCTATGGTTAGAGCGCATGCGACGGCGTTGTCGTGGGCGGTTGCGAGACGAAGTCAACGGCTGCACCTGTGCAACTAACGCCTTAACGCAGACAACTAGCTCGGCGTTGTCAGTGGAGTGCAGTGGTGGGGCTGGTTGTGTGTCGGATTGGACCGACAGCTGATCAGCGTATACCCTGTCGGCCATCTCCCCAGTCCGCACAGGGGTACACTCGAGAGTCTCCGCTTCGCCACGGGGGGGGCATCTCGATAATTACTGTATAGAATCACAAACTGATTGTGCAAATGACTTATAAAAATGGAAATAGTCCATTTTGTAAAAAAAATCTAATCAATATGCCATAAATGAACGATTTTTCATTTCATAGAAATTAACAAATTTAGTGTGTTATATTTTGCATTAGGAGTGCTTTTCGCCCACTAAACTGTACTAAATCTTTCTATTTACTTTCAAGTATTTTATTTTTCATCATTTACACCCTTGATGATTGCATTTTACCAAGATTGATTTTAATTTGTTTAAATGAACTGACCTTCGGACCAGAATACACCATATTGTTTCGCTGTTGTTCTTACTCACGGTGAGCCTCTCTCCGGGTATGTGTTATCTTAATTCACTGTGATGGGCTATCTATTTGTAGTATATGCATACATACTTATGCATATGCTTATTATATTTAATGATATATTTAATAAATAACATAACGGAATCCGTATATAATAGATCAAACGTCAATCTAGCAACCCACCGGATGGGTCACGTATTGCTAAGTGGAGACGTATGCATAAGGAAATTGAACGAATCGTACAGCCGTTGTCGCTAGTGTAGTAACCATTCACATCCCGTTCTCAATGTACACTTCCTCCTGTGCATCTCATTGTTTTATCACACCAAGGCCACGTCTTTGGTCAGCACGTGTTTACTTTCACTTTCCGCGCGCTTGCTCACGCCTTTGTATCTCTCCCTTACTCTGCAGGTATTTACAATACACGTCGTCCTCCGTTTCGTGAATCGCCTCGTTCTCTTCTCGTACGAACGTACGTTTGCGACCTATACGTATTAGCTCGGGGTACCGAAAACCTAGTTCCTACAAATTGGTGAGCCCTCATTTTATTTTATTTACGTTGGAAAATTCTTTTTTTCGGAGGAATTTTAATTTCTCTAGGTCACGTTTGTGCTAAACGGTCCGCGTATTTATTTTCACGGAAACACTCTCGAACATATAATTTTAGATTATATTCACCCCCAGTTCGCGGTTTTATCATCATTTACTATTGCATTTTTGCCCACTTTCGTTTTTCCAACGTAGTTTGTATTTTAGGTGCTATTCGGTAATATTTTTGTAGCCCGTTCGAAAATCCCATATTATATATTTGCGCTTAAGTATGATTAGCCCCGATCATAAGCACTCCATAGAAACCGAGGCACTCTGGGCCCACATCAGGGCTCCTGAGTTCATGCCGGAGGATCCAGAAGCAGTCCTCGCAATTCTGGAATCGCGATTCCATGAAGCACACATCACCGGGCAACCAACCCGTTATCATAAGCTGTTGTCCGCGATCCCACGCGACATGCTTATCAACTTCCGGGATATTTACATGAATATCCTTGCGCACAACCCGTACGACGTGCTCAAAGAAGCACTTCTTCGTCGTATAGCAGTTTCCGAAGAGAAACGCATCCAGCTCCTCCTGTCAAGGATCCAATTGGGAAACCTCAAACCGTCCCAGTTGTTGCGTCAGATGCGTGCGTTAGTCGGCAACACCACACTCGGCGCCAGATTTGGCTTCAACGGCTTCCGCCATACGTACAGATTATTCTGAATGTTTTCGCACACGCCCATAGTCTGGACGAACTAGCTGAGGCTGCTGACCAAGCATTGGAGCAGGCTCAACTTTTCCAGCCCTCTTTGGCGAACATCGGGAGCCCGGAGCCAAACTNGACCACCACGAGTGTTTTTGTCTACCCAGGGCAACGAGACACTATGAGGACGAGCGCGCTATTCGAGATCCGTAAGAAGACTTATCGGCAGGCCGTAAACACCGATTATTTTCAGGTCCTAATGGATGAACCAATATTCGTACGCATGCGCTCAATCTGATTGCATAGATAGCGTACGGTCTCTCTCAGAGGCAATCTGATGAAGAGAGAGGTCATATCCTGGGAAAACATTTGCTTTTCGGATACGTCGAGTGAACCGACAGTGCCTTCACATGTAGTGGCCATTCACATTCCATTCTCAATTTACCTTTCCTCTGTGCATCTCATTGTTTTATCACACCAAGTTCACCTCTTTGGTCAGCACGTGTTTGCTTTCACTTTCCGCACGCTTGCTCACGCCTCTGTATCTCTCCTTCGCTCTGCCGGTCTTTACAATACAAGTCGTCCTCCGTTTCGTGAATCGTCTCGTTCACTTCTCGTACGAACGTACGTTTGCAACCTATACGTATTAGCTCGGGGTACCGAAAACCTAGTTCCTACAAATTGGTGACCCCTCATGTTATTTTATTTACTTGGGAAAATTTTTGTTTTCGGAGCAATTTTAATTTCTCTAGGTCACGTTTTTGCTAAATTGTCCGCGTATTTATTTCCACGGAACCACTCTCATACGTATAATTTTAGATTATATTCATCCTCAGTTTGCGGTTTTATCATCTATTACTATTGGATTTTTTGTCCACTTTCCTGTTTCCAACGTAGTTTGTATTTTAGGTGCTATTCGGTCATATTTTTTAGCCCATTCGAAAATGGCATATTATATATTTTCGCTTAAGTATGATTAGCCCCGTTCATAAGTTCTCCGTAGACAGCGAAGCACTCTGGGCCCAAATCAAGCTCCTGAGTTCATGCCGGAGGATCCGGAAGCGTTCCTCGCACTTC